TAATTTCTTCGACAGTGTGTGAGAACGGGTTATGATTGTGTATTTCTTCGGGCAGATGTTCTCTCATTTCTGCCAGCCACGTTTTTGGTCACGTGGATTCATTTTGAATCAAGCCAAGCAAGCTATCAGCTGATCCGCCTCTCACTGTCACTGTGACATACAGCCGATCGATAGAGGTACGCCAAAAAGTTGTAGCTTCGCTCGTAAGGAAATTCCAATAATGAGCCTCAAATGATGTTTTCATCAAAGAAGAAAACATTGTGTGTATCCGAGTGGACAAAGACCGCAGTGTCACTAATTCCAGCCTACGGCCCATGAACCTATCTGGCCCTATTAGCCCGAATGGACCTTCTTTACCGTAAACTCAATTCGTCCACTGTCTGCATTCCGGTGCAAATGAACTGTTTTGAACCGAGCGTGCGATGCGGAAAGGATTACGCGAGCGGAACCAGTGACCAGAATCACTGATGATTCGTTGCAGGCAAGGCAACTGACGGCTAAATAAACCAGTGGATTCAAAACAACAGATTTGGTACGACCTGTATACTTATCTGCATACCGATCTGGATTTGATGGGGACTGACTTTAAACTCAGCTCAATCTCTTGTATATAGTGTTCTGAACGGAAAATCAAGGTCACGTTGCGAGATCGAAACGCTAGGCAGGGAAGTACCACCAGGCCGCAATCAGTTTGGGCGTATGGGGCTGAGGTTATTGCTCCAAACCTAACAGAGGAAACGGACTAATGAAAAACTTTCACATAAAGCGGTCTGATGATAAGCTTCTAGCCGAGTTCGAGAAATACACTCATTTACAAATCAATTTGGTTTTCACGAGAGACCCAAATGAATGTCCCGTTTATGATATTCTACAACTGAATGTGCTGCACACAGGCCGCCTCATGTTTCAGTTGGCACGATATTTGAGATAAAGCAGTATATTTTTATGAAGGAAACTGCTCACGAGTTCGCTGTCGAAGAGTTTTCAGCAACCTTGTGAGTAGTTTCCTTCTATTGAGTACCTGAACGTTTTACTGCGAACGATTCCATCAACCGAGACACTAGATGTGGCTGCTGAACACGGTGAGAACATACGAAACAGGCATCCACGATGCTATACGCCCGAGTGCATTCACAACCTATGAGATGTGATGTGAATGGCGAAGCATCGTGCGTTTCACACGCAATGTACGAATAATCAGATTGCGGCAAGATATTGCACTCCTCACACCAGTGATTGATCATAGAAACTGTTTTTGAACTTCGAATGTCCAGTAGACATACAAAATTTTACAACTCTCATGAATAACCTGAAATGCAGTTAGACGGCTCTGGCCTGAAAAGTTATCACTGGCGTCCGCTGAGTTTTTCTGCCTAAAATTAGAGCGCAGATTTTGTGAACATCAGTTTGGGAGAAATTTGCCTCTTGGAGTCTTTACTTCGCTCGCACACGGCTGTTCTTTCGTATGTGCTTAGCCACACGTGACTCGGGATCCGGTTATCTAACTGATACCGTTGTGCCGAAATCACGCTAGATTATCTCAAGTTGACTGTACAGTACTGCTAATACTCAGGTCGTTTGCAAAAAGAATGGGTTGCAGTATTCCACCGGGATTGTCTTGGTCACACAATGAGGTTAGCAGGATGATATAAAGAAGTGTCCGCAAATCCAGTTCCACCAACCGGTACCGATTCGGCGTTGTAACCAAGCCGCAGTGAGCATGAACAAAACCGGCATTTATAACCTTTTCCGAACAGCTAGGGATTAAAAAAATTAAGCTAACTATCAATAACCAGTCAGGTTCTAACCGCTCATCAAATCTGGAGGTGGCACAGTATTTGAGGCACAAACATACTGACCGGAAGGTCCGTGGTTCGAGTCCGACCTCTGCATCTCGAATGCGTCCGGATGGTAAGACAGCTAGGCAGTGGAAGTGTGATACAGCTAAACCATTTCACTTTACTTCAGTAAAGGTACCAAATGCACTAAGCTGTGGTACCATAAATTGACTAGGGTGTACGATTTGTATGGTAGCGTGGTTATTCTCAGAAAGGATGAGGCCTCTGAGGAACCAGGTGCGTGATGATGGATCTCACACGTGATAATATGACACAGCGTGCATGTGACAGATGATAACATCAGTTTGGGTTGTGGACAATCAAGTCATTTATCATACATTTTCGCCGATTCGCGTGAATTATGAGGTACATACAGTAAGTGTTTGTTTGATCAGGTGTTTCTTTCCAAAAAACGCTGCGCGAAGGTCGCGTAAACCCAATTGATATAGATGTATTGATAAGAAAGCCACAGCTACAAAGCAGGTGGGAAGGCTGCAAAGATGGAGATAGCACTGCAGGCAATAGGCTTCTGAAAAGCTATTCTCGTAAAAGACAATTGTCAGCTTACTCCCAGAAGAATAAACTCGGGAAAAGTCCCCGCTATCATTTCCGAATGCAACTCCGTCGCACCGTTTAGTTCTCGCAAGAAAGTCGATTCCATTAGAAGAGGTCTCTATTTCAGACTGCTGTACAAAACCGAGGAACTTTTCAGTTTGATGAAAGGAACAGGTGAATCAATTTTTGCCCTGCATGTGTGTTTTTTCGAACGCTGAGACTAAGTGACAAGTATCGGGAATGCACATAAGGTTAGGGTCTCCTCATCTGGAGTTGTTCAAAAATCGGGGACAAATTCACCTACGGATAATTTGCACCAATTACAGCAAGCCAGTAGAGGTTGCAATGGAAGGATTTGCAACTGGATGCTTCGGTACGTAATGCGTAAATAAGTGATACAAGAGGAAGTATCTTTTAGTAATTGTGTACAGGTTACCGGGATATCAAATCAACAAATTGACGTATTTGAAACCACTGGCTATTCAAAACAAAATCCGCACTGTACTTTTGGCAGATTGGCATGCAGCTCATAAGGTTGCTGGAAACACTTTGACAGTACACTACAGGTTTCTCCAGTCTCGCGGAGCACCGGGTGGATGTGTCTCTCTCTCTCTCTAGATTCCACCTGAACAGTATATTTTGTGCAACCGACAAAATAGACTCCTTTTTAAATTATCTTCATGTTACAGATAGCTTTCACTGAATCTTTGGTTTATGTTGTTATGGAGCTAAATGTGCTGGACAAAGTCCACCTCGTATTTCCATTTGGCACGATATTCGAGTTATCGACGTATAGCGTCGCTAGGTGATGGACAGGGAGGCTCAGACAAGTTTTTAGCTGATACAAATATAGTGTGAAACTGAGTGCTGTTTTTCAGTTGCATAGAAATCCGTGTCCTAGTAAAACGTGATTACTTGACTCCTCAGGACTGTAGTTTTCGACTGACTTCAAAAAATCTATATCGGGTCAACCAAGCACTGCGTAACGACAACACAATATAGTTCGCTACCTAGAATATTATGCCTATTGGGGCACTGAGCGGTCTATGTACAAAATGTCATAAACGAGCTTTTCAGTTGAGTCGCCCTTAAACTGTTCAGATGCGTAAACTTGGTCAAGCAGACTAACTCAGTCCAAGATATAATTGCACGATGAAATGTCGTAACAAGTATTTAGGGATATCTTAATGAAATGATAGCTTATCAACATGCTGAATATTTCTGAGGACATGGAATTGCCAAAAACTCCGGGATGAAAAAGAATGGGTGATATTTAAGGCTATCAAGATACAGAGACGTACTACTTACTACCCCTGTGTTTTTTACTATTTCATCCTTCTGGCTACGTTCAATGTAACCCTACTTGAATGCATGACGCAGTGTGCTGATAAACGTTCTTTTTGGATAATTCAAACCCTTTAAATTCCGTGACCACTCCACTTCCAATTTTGAAAAACACACGTATACGAGAAAGCAGTTAAGTTTAGATTGATAAACGGCGAAGCGACGACAGTTTCTAAATGAGAGAGAATGATTTTTACCAGGCTCGAAAGCTATCATCTAAATTTGTTGACCTTGAGTGCCAGCTTTCCTCAGGTGAGCGACGCCGCTGTTTCAGCGTTGATGACCAAAAGGACACTCACCTATGAACCGGATATACGGATGTATTCAAGGGTTGAGACCACGTCATTTTTATTCAAGGGATGGAATGCCTACAAAACGCTACTTAAAAAATGGCAATACTAAGTCATTGTCAGTAATTTTACGAATATATTCAGTTTCAAGCATTGAGCAGCGTCACTTATTGGAATCAGTCGGCTGCGCTGTGGGATATTCTAGAAGGTCGACTTGGTAAGTAACGCGCATCAGTTCGTCAAGAACCACCTTGTCTTACCTCTCATGGAGGTGTTGGACTGGCAAAATTACGGTCTTCATCTCAACCCTACTAATAACCTGCACAAAATTCGAACAAAAGTAGGAATGAAGAGGCATCGGTCTGATGTCAGTTGACACTCACTAAAGGTATTATGAGGCCTCTGAGGCATAATAATCTGAAAACTTCAAAACACAATGATATTACGGGGTTGTTGTATCCTTGGTATCTCCAGTATTATTCTCGTAAATTCCCAATGTATCCTGCGAAGGATGATTTTTTGTCATCTACCAGAAGTTGAATTATGACGAAAAACTTGACTAGGTGCGTTTTTGGCGCATGCAATAAATTTCGAACAGCGTCCGTCATGTCAGCTGCTTGGGTCGTTTTTCAAATCTTTCAGGCCCATTTTGATTCAATTTGATCGATACTTGTGCGTTACGTTAGCTGGCGCATTTCAACCAATCGTGCATCGGTTTCACGTCCAACCGCAAGCCGCATTTAAACAGCCAATCAGGTCACTGAAATGCAAGGACGATGCGACTGCGCTTAAATCACGAGTGTTACTCCACTTCTGGTTCCTGTTATAAATCACGTACGGAATTTCGGTATTCACTTTCCGACTAAACTGGAAGACTACGTATGCAGGAAACAAACACATTTCAAACCTAACCTTCAAGCTCTGAGAATACTTGTCAAGTATAAGATTGCTCATTAGCATCAAGTGAAATGACATGTGCTTGCCGAAAATCACACAATGCAGACTTCGAGCAAGGCATACCGCATCATCAAGATCAAAGGCATCAAAGGTGGATGAATGGCCGCATCACAAAAAGAAAAATAAACGCGCTCTACTCCTCAAACGGGATGGCAACATCGTTAGTGTGACAGAAGGCCAGAAGAACAAGCCGAGTCAAGCAATTCACGAGGCAGCGAATTCGGATTCGAAAAGATCTATTTTATTGTGTTTGGGACAAAAGACTGCTAAAAACCAACAGAGCATCTCTCGTGGACGAACATATGAATTGCAACTTCCAGAAAAACCCGATCAAACGTCACCCATTCACCTCGTACCTCGTCTAGATTCTAAAGATGATGGACCACAGGCAATGTGCTTGCATCACACGGTTCATGAGGGTAATTTCTCCGCTCCGTCTTGCTGTGACGTTATTCCTCATCAAAGCACTTGCCCACACACCTACATCCGCCTCACTCCACACTTACCAGTGCAGAATCGAGACTTCTTGACCATTTCAACCGCATACACAGATGATACGAGTGATTTTGCAACACCAGTGTCATACATTCAAGATGAAGAAGTGGATGATTTTCAGTTAAGCGCATCACTCCCAAGTCGCAAGCAGAACTTGCATAACACTTCAGCTAGTTTTATCGATTCTGGATGGGGCAGTATGAGCCCTATGGCATCTGATCTTTGCAATATGGGCTATCCGACAAGAATCGAAACACAACCAATTAAACGACGAGAACACCGATCTGAAAGAGAACACACAATGGAGCAAGACACCTTCCTCGGCAGATTCTCAAAATCGGAAGGCTTCATCATGTTTTTAAATGAAAGATGTGAACAGACAGGTATGAAATCGCTCACAGAGGGCCATGGGCAAGAAATCGTACAGCATCACGGTTCAAAGAACAAACGTTCCCCATTCGGAGCTGTGTACGCAGCCGCAAATCAGAATCCTTCTCCCAAGGAATATGGAAAATCTCCATCAGCTGCAGACATTCGCGAAATGTCCGGACAGGTGAACTTGTACCCCAAGGCAAGATCTGGAGACCTAATGTTTGAGGGAGTATGGCGGAAATCCGCTGCAGATAGGAGTATAGCTCAACAACAAAAGTTCTCGCTTTCAGTACCAGTCCTAAGAGAGCGTGATGTAGGTCTCCCTTTACCTCCATTGTTTGTGACCAATAAAGTGGACAACAAAAGCAGCACTAAAGATCAAACACCATTCAGCAAAACAAAATCCAGTTTTTTGGAGACGTGCCCACCTGTGAACATACCCGAAAACAAAATGTACAGTGACTTATGCGAGACAGAACTGAGTGGAAAATTTGCCTCAGTGCGACCCAAACTCCCGGATCTGTCAAAGAAATCCGTGAGACGGATTAAGCGTGATAGTGTGCATTCTCGGTTATCAGATGAATTTCAAGAAGCTTCAGAGCCAAGTTCGACCCCTTCCTTTGGATCAGATTATGTTGTCGCGTCCAACCAAGACAGTGTTGCCACTGCCCGCTACAGGAACCTCATGTACATTGATCAAAATCTGGGAGAACAAGGGTATCCTGCCCAAACTGCAATAGAGAAGTGTGGCCCCTCCCCTGTTATGAAGTGTCGATCAATGAGCGCCCTTCGTCTAGAAGAGCAAGTGTATGATGCCTCAAGAACGCTGAAAATTCGAGCAAGTGAAAAGCAGGGCAACGCTGAAACCGAAGCCGTAAATATTAGATCGCCTATATCACCAAAGTATAAGGCAAAAACACCACGGCGAAGCTATCCCTTGGTGCATCAAGTCGACGAGCTGATGGCGAAGCTTGATGGTCTGATGGGCAAACCTGAGGAGAAGGTGTTAAGCGGTACCGGATCATGGATGATTACGCCTACTGACGGGGCTGAGTCGACCTTTGATCCACACATTTCAAAGCGTGGCTTGTCGCAGGTGCCGCACAATATGGAAGGTAATACTGATGGAGACCAGTGCACTGACAACAAGAACAGGTTGTATAATGAGTGCTTTTCATCTCTTAGGTCAGAACAGTTTGGTGATGGTCCGGAACTAACCGAAGATTTTTCTCCACCGACGGCGATTATCAGTGAGACGACTACTAACACGTCTTACTTTTCTGCGCTGAACACCGAACAGTTCGTGGAAAAATTTATCGAGGATGATATGGCATTTTTCGATCAAACTAGCCCCTTGATGCATAGCACGCTCGTAGAAGACACATCAGAGTTCTGTTCGCCAGTGCAAGAAACTTCGGCGGATGTCTGCACCCAGGCTTCGGCAAGCACATCCGATTTATACGTACAGGAGTTGAACAACACAACGGAAACTGGATTGTGTCCAAACTTCTCAGTCGATCTGGATTTTGAAGAACAACAACCGCAAGTCAAAACTGATCAGGCAAGGCAGTCTGCCAAATTCGCTGATGTTAGTGAAGAAGTGGATAGCATATGTGACAAAAGAAAAAGTGAAATACAAGAGGGGATTGTGTCCTCAAAACTATTTCCCACAACTTCTGAAGGATCACGGCACGTTGGCCACGATGGTGATGGGAGGGATGAAGTGGACAGTGGACTTGACCTATCGAGTTATTCGAGCCGTGGTGCAAATCAAAGCAATTCGGAGTCCACCGAAAAGGCTTCCGGAACATCCAAATCTCAATACCAAGCATCTATTGCCCCTAATGTTGAGTCAACATGCCAGCCGGATAACCAGTCCTTGGTGTCAAAAGCTGATGCAGAAGTGATTTCAACCTACCACAGTCCACTGATTAGCGCTATGTTAAGAACAGTTTGTGACACGCCTAGTGAGCCAATGCGCCCAGATGCGAATGACATAAGGGGTTTAAAGCCTATATTGTCAGAAAACCCAGCCTATCTTGTTTCAGAGATACCGTGGCACGAAAGCAGGATGAGCGATCTAGAAACCACTAAACACGACGCAACTGAGGATAGTGGCTTCTCAAGTCTGATAGTCGGAGGGATAAAACGAATTAATGATACTTCCCCAGCTTACGGCACAGAACAGTGCGCGGCTCATTTCAGTGCTTTTGACAACGAAACGACAGTTGAGCTGGGAGTGCCTTCCCTTCTTGTGAGTTCTCCACCGGCAGTGCAGCAAAAGCAGTTGAACCCGTGTTATGACCAGATGATTTTGGTGCCAAACTCATCAAATAGTGCACTCTGTATTGGCGCTTCTAGCCTTACCACTCCGTCAGAAAAGTCATCCATTTCTGAGTGGCAGAAGAATAAACTGGAAGGTTGGCAATTAACCTCAGCTACCACAGATGACGGAATAAATGATGGAGTCTCAGTTGGAGGTGAATTTCAGTCATCTGTAAATCACTTTCGAAATTCACCAAGCCCACCCGAAACACCAGACGATCCATGGGCTAACCCAGAACTGCGAAAAGGAACAGATGATTTGGGTCTGAAAGAACCTCGAGGTATACCCACCACATCATCTGTCGATGAGAAAGACGATAGAGACGACACTGAGTGGAACTTGGCAGCGTCCATCGCGCACCAGGCAACGAAAGATGTGAATGACCATCCCAATCCGGAAATACCCCATCCTTCGAACCAGTCAGAGATTTCAAAATCCTTAGCTTCAAACCTCGCGGCTCCATGCGGATACACAGCACATCTTTCGCAGTATGTTTCGGACAGTATTTTGGAGTGTGAACCTAGTGATGAGTATTTCGGCGTCAGCGCATTTGCTCACACGACTCCTACCGCAAAATTACGGTATATAGCCCACGGACTTGAAGTAGTGAACCAAATGGCACCACACATCACGGAAGCTGTTTTGATAGAATATCAGGGAAACGTGGTGTCAAGTACACCGAGGCAGAGTAAAAACGAAGCAAGAGAGCAACGTATGGAGCAGGAAACGTCAGATCTGATTGTGCTGGACGAAAGCTGCGATTTGTCTGATAATACATCTGATGAGAAGGTCCGAATGAGTGGCCAGATAGCACACACTCATGAGCTGTCGAACAACGATAGTCTAACTAGACACCTATCACTTTTGGATATGCAGTCGCAGGATAGCAAATACCATGACATAACACCGGATTTCTCTCCAGCTCACTTGAAACCATCCAGCCCTTGTCTCTTGTGTGCCAACAAAGCTTATCAGATGATGTCTGAAGTTACCGACTCCAAAGGGGTACTGTCACCGGGCGATTTCCGCATGCCACCAACAATGCAAACTACGGATCAGCCGTCTCGAGATGGACTGGAGTGTGATAAACGTGAAACACCAGAGATCCCAAATTTCACACTTTTCTCTGAAGGCGCGGACGCATCTAGTGTAGATGAGAAAGCCACATGCGAATCAAGCAGTGAATTGCACAGACAAATGAGTAGTGTAGAAAACGAGAACAGCAGTTATTCGCATGATGCTCAACCCCTTGGTGAGAAAGTTCAGGAACAAAGACAGTGGTGGTCAACGCAGTATTCCCAGCTTGGCGAAAATGAAACAGAAACCCCGAACGCATTTGTTCTGAATGAAAATCTGCTTGACTTGGGCGATCCACCGGATAATTCTATCGATCAGACTGTTGGTGGGTTGTTTGCATCTCTGAGTCCTCGAGTGCACAGTTCATTCGATGAAGACTTATCTAATATCTTTGAGTTATGTAGACAAACCGCGCAGGGCATCAATCAGCAGCACACCTATTTCACAGAAGCAACCGAGTCTCATGCTCCACTCACAGTCGAAGGTGGTGCGTGTTTCGAAATCGAACATCCTTACAAACAGGCAGAAACGTTGGTCCGGCATAACATTGAATCTGGGATCACAGGTGTGATTCACGATATGACACTGGAAGGGGAACAGCAACAACCAGCATTGAGGCTTCTGCCTGTCCAACAGGTAGGTGAGTTACAAGAGCGAAATTATGTCACTGAAGATAGATCGACACCGGTCACAGCAACTGTACACGACACTCAGTGGCAAGGGGACAGGATAGTGACGCTCGTCCCACAGAAAATGGTTATTCGTTCTAACTCAACTGCTTCTATACCCAGAAATTCCAGTTTGGGATCGGATGAAGAAATTACGTACGAAATTCAATCTTCCGTAAATTCTCTTTGTTTTGACAAACCTTCTGAAATCAGTGTGTCTTCGAGGGAACCGGAGATCATCCCCACATATATCACGCCAAAGTTTTCTGCACCACCTACGGACCTCAAACAATCTCTAGAGGTATTTCAATGCGCTCCGTTGGCTGGAGAGGCCTCTAATCCCCTTTCGAGGCTCAAGATACAAGGAATACTCTTGAATGAAACAGGAGCTGGGATCGAAGTTTTCACCAAGATACCGTCCCACAAAAGTTCATCCTTTCAAACATTGTCTTTTTCAACTGAATCTCTTGATCAGCCTTTGGAATTTACCACCTCAGAAGCCAGCAGTACAAAAGAAAACAAACAGATATGTGATGACAAACTTATCTCAGACGTTCGAGGTACTTCTAATGATCGAAATCAAATCCCGTTAGCACACGAAGACAGCAACCCCCAGCCTGCTGAATCGTGTCCACCTAAGGAATCTCCTTCTACTAGCTCCGTGGAGTGTCAGTCACCACAAAGAACATTCATAGCCAGGTATTGTCCACCACAGTCGATTAGCGATGAAGAACTGGACGGAAGAACACAAGTTCTAAACGAGGCAAGTATTACTTTGCTACACTTTACAAACAACTATTTGTGACTGCAGTGCATTTGAATTCCGTACTGTGGTGGACATCTTTGTTAAGGCTATCAACAGCATGAAGTCATACAGATAGTCAGACTCATTCCAAACTGATGTTTACATTCATAGTAGTTTCTGTCCGTTATCCTCAAAAGGGTTTGCTAGTTCAGGCAAGTCCAGTACATATAGTTTTCGTTGAAAATACAGACAGATCACAAATACAGGAAGCGTCCCTACAAAGACATAAACCAAACTTTCCTAAATCCATATTAGAAGAACAAGCACTCGCTTCTTCCACTATGCCGGAAGCACCGTTGACGCCGCCACTTAAACAGGTTAAAGCGAAGGCACCTAGAGGAAGGGGATATTTCATCGTCGTCATCGTCATCATCTCTGCCGTCACAATAACCATCATCTTCATCATCCCAGAGGAGAACACTGGTGATTCAGTGACATTGGTTGGCCACCCAGTCGTTCACTGTCTGCACCCAAACACATGAGGCGTTAGGTGGACTCCAGCTTGGAAGTCTGAGTGAACCAACCTCACCCTGAATTTTGTAAGCTCCTTTATCCCAGTCTGTCACGTCAAATTTCGCCACTCCGAATTAGGTAGGGAAAACAGCACTCTTCTTGGCGTGAGTAACTCGACACGTATAGCACAGGTCCCGGCTAACTTGCAACGCTGGATGCATTCTTTGAGGGCAATACCCGCTACTTCACCAAAACCTGTCTGTTTATCTTCGTTAGCTCCGGCTGACTGAAACTTTAGTTCTGAGACAGTGGTGGTCAAAGGCCGACTGACGGCTGAAGCTTTAGTTCTGAGACAGTGGTGGTCAAAGGCCTGAAAATGTCTCAGCTACTCCACCCGAATGGGCCAATTCTCACAGTCGTATAAAAATACACCCCATAGTGTGACCCAATATATGCGTTATTTGGGACCCAATGAGATATCTTTTTGACATCACAAGTGGTGTAAATTGCCAAAAGCAATTCTGGCCTTAAAGATTCATGCGTTGATTTTGTCTGTCGCACCACCATCATAGATAATGCAACTCTCAATTCCTAGAGGCCTGTTCAGAAACCGTGTCCTGAGCATGACTTCGCACATTGTGGGCACTGTGTAGTTGCTGAAGGGCTAGATGATCTGAGTTAGTAATACTTGCACATTCTGCAATTTTCGCGAATGAGGATGTCACTCGCAGAGTTCTAAACACCAGGGTTTTTGAGATCTTCCAGAGTTCACCTTCGTACTTCATCAAAGACGAAACTGTATAAAAATTGAGAGAGTGCACAACGTTGTCGGCCACAATTTCTTGTAGGAAACCTTTCAGAGACTTCGCCAATACACTCACGCGCCCAAAAGTTCATAAATTTAAAAACTATGCATAATATCCACGCGCAAGTGTGTTGAGAAGAAGTAACCGGTCGACAGAATCGAATGCACTCTTAAAGTCCAGGAACACCAAAGTTGCAGGGCACCTGTATGCACGTAGTCTGTTTGGCACCACACAGCCTTTTACTGGCTAGAATCCCGCTTGTTGTTCTCGTATACTGTCCTTGCGCGCTTCTGCAAGACGATATGAAATGAGCGACGCAAACTGGCTTAAGCTTTTTCCTCTGTGATTGCTGTACTTATTGCAACTACCCTATTGAAAAATTGGCATCACTATCAACTCAACCTACTAATTTGGGATGACCCATTTCTCAAGGTAGAAGTGTGTAAGATAGATGGTCACTAACTGGGGATTTTACCTCCATATTTAAATAGAGAAAATGTGGATTCGTCAGGGCCAGTCTGTCGGCGACACTTGAGGGACAAAATGCCTTAGCTTATTTTTGTTGCGGTTAAGGGTTTCAAGTTTACTGTCCCGGTTGGAGTCCTTCTGAGCAACTAGCAGTGGCCGGTGGAATTTTTTTAAGCCAACGATTCAGAAGCCCATCTTTTTTAGAGATAGGCAAGGCGTTGTTACCATTGTTTATTTTGCCTACAGGGGACCACTTTCAACCTTTTTGAACGTATCAGTCGGGATATTTTTGCATGCTCCAAGAGTTGTTCTCCTTCCTCATCCTTCTGGCTTTCTCTGTCCACCAAATATCTGGATCTGTGCTAGTTTTAGCCTGAGGTATGACGGTCTGCGTAGAGGCTTCGTACTATCGACCAGAACGAATACGTGTCCGATCTTCTAACCATTTTAATGTTGCTCGGGATTCAATCACCGTCCCGCAAACGGAACACTTGGCATCTCGCAGGGTTGTGGACTGGACCCGAATCAAGACTCGACACTAAAAGATATGTTGTCCAAAGCAGACTTCAATAGCTAGTTTTGGCAAGCTTGCTTCAGGTCAGGGTCCGAGAGCTCTTCAAATGCCAAGCGATATGTGTGCTTCCCACAGGAAGGCGCAGCGGGAAGTAGTAGCCTACAAGCCCATAGCCGACGGCAATGTATTATAAGTTGGTCCGTATGCGCGAGAAATCACGTGACCAAGCGGTTTCGTTTGTTCCGAAAGACACTACTGCACACACAGTATATCGTCAACGCATAATTGCAACAGGCGTTCGCATTTGTCCATGCGCCCCCATTCTGGTCCCAGACGACCACCCAGCTGAGCTTCAGTAGCACTAGTTCTACCTACCTGTTTATTCATATCCCAGACTATCTGACGCCATAGCCCACCGCAACAAGGCTCTTAAGTTATTGTAAAAACTGCCTTGGATCGTACCAGATCTATGGTCTGTTGGAGTGTAAGCAGATGCGATGGACGGAAAGCAATTATCAGCGCGTTTACGGGGTAATACCACAGTAGTGCTGCAGCTGAGAGTGATGAATGGAGAGCAGAGCTGTCAGTCCCAGTGCTGAGAAATGTGGGAAAGTGTTGAAGTTGGGGTGGGTGTAGGTAGAAAACGAAGTACGTGGAAGCACAGGAAGGAAGGCTTCGGCAGCAACATGTTTACACTTACCTGCCCGGTTGTATGCAAAAAGTAAGCTGCTCACAACACGCGACGGCTGATATAACAAGATACCATTTGTGATTGTGCAATTCATGGTGGTATGTGGGTTGGTATACTGCTAGGGCGCTATGGCTTAAAGAAGGAAACCATTAGGGTATTCGACTCAAGCCTTCGGCTCAAACGCCTAAACACAAGGTAACGGCGGTCCGCGTAGGATCGTCACAGTAAAGAATCACCAAGTAACAAATCACCACACCTTTTCCAACCCTGAACCTGGGGACAAGCAGGCTATGGAAGTCAGACTTCTACCCTTTCATCAGCCTGGCATGAGAAGCTGTATGCGTGTTACACGTACACTCTCCCGTACAGGTCTTTGGTTTACGGAGTCTCAGCCTGTTACGCAAAATAACGTTCAGTCTGTTTGTGGCGGGATGTGATTTCCTATTTGGATGTGAGTAATCTCTTTCCGGGGTCAACCGTCGTCGAATAGCAGTCTGTCAGAGCCTAGTCATACAAACGAAAACACTTGGAACCAACTTTATTCCCTGACGACTCTCGAACGAGCTTACAAATCTCGTGACGTACATCGTGTTCTACTTCCAAACTTTGCCAACCGTTTTGTCTATCGATCCACTGCCAGGCCCTGGAATTCTCTGGCCAGATGTTATCAGCATTTGTTGCTTGGAAGTATGACCTGTCTACATATCCCTACCTTACCCCAATCTATCTAGTAGTAGCAATTCTGACACATGTTTGCTTTCCAATAATGATGTGAAAGACAATTTTGAGTGTTTGAAATTGGCTGACATTCAGGATCACTTTCTCTTGTAATTGCACGCAGAATGCGAATCGAACTTGAGGTATCATCCAAAGGGCAGCGGTTAAACACCATTTTAAGTAGGCGTTGGTACGCCAAATTGTACCAAAACCCTAGCTGAACATGTTTGTGAACTTTGTTAGCGATCGATATTTGTTTCCGAATAGATTCACAAAGTGAACGGTACACGGTTTACAACGAACAACCTGGTACGATGAGAAACCTAAGATAGCAGATGGTACTGCTTTGACCGAAAGCTGGTTTGATTGAGTTGATGTGACTGCGAGACTGCATTCCGCGCTCACCCATCAGCGATGATAAACCAGAGCTTTATAGCTTGAAAGTTGGTAAATTTGCTGAGAGACGTTTGGAATACTATACAATTCATGCACAATTTGTTCTTAGAAGTACTGCGTGTTGACTACGGTCTCAGATATCTGGGGAACCAAGGTACTGGCTAGTTTCATTTACTGTATACATCTAGCTTTATGGGGAGAGTTCCGATCAATATCTGTTTGAGATTCACTTGCTTCTGACACCATGCAAAACCTCGCATCAGGCTTCAAGTGATGTGAAATGGATGTGGGAACTTGTTCCAGAATCAGGCGCTCCGTAATGTGTTAATGTGTACAACGGGCACGTTTTGTTCTTGCGGAACCTTAATGTCGGCGAATAGGTTCCACACGATGGGTGTGCTATATGTGGTACCGGATCAACTACGTCGTCATCGTGGCTAGTTCGAATCTTTGTTGGGTTTCGCGAATTGTGCACTGCTGGTGGCTCTCGATAAACGTAAAACATTTTGAAGTATTTCTCCACTCTTTGGCATAGGCTGACTTCGCTTGCAAGATAAAATACAAATAATAGAATACCGCTGTTGTCCCAGTTTGAACTCGGTATTTATTTTTAATGCAGCAGATGCTGACCGAACTCCTGGATCTTTCTGCTTAAGTCGTGCAGCTACCTCAAGTGCTCCTGTGAATGCTCCAAGATTTACATTGTGTCAACTCTTTTGTTAACAACTTGAACCAGAATGGAAGTCAACCTATGACACCTTGGCAAAGGGTTAACCTACTAGATTTGCTCCAGAAGAGAGAATTTCGCACTGTCGAAGCGTGCCACTGGTGCACCTATTGGTCTGAAGAGTCCGAAGATATGTTGGAAGAACTTCTTGCATAAGTGTGCCCAAGAGCAATGTGTTACTGACACCAGTGCTGATAATTTGGCTAGTAAATTCTTGTAATACCGAAA